TGCACATAGCATTGTGATGCAGACATAAAAGGGGCAGGGCTTACATTGTGATGTCATGGTGCACGGTTGACCTTGTTTGCCAATAATAAGTGATCCACCTGTCATTAAGCAACAAATACTTTTGCCTTGACAATTGTTAACAATTAGGCTGGATGGCCACCAAAGAAGGGAAGAGTTACCGCTATTGTTAAGCATGGGAAATATGACCTGGGGAACTTCGGGGGGGGCGTTATTTATTTATTGCCACCCTCTGGGGGCTCAGGGGAGATCAAGTTATCCTCTGGGTGCCCTTGTAAATGGACTGGAAATAGTGAAAGTTCAAAGCATTCTGCCTCTGGTCCCAGTATGCCTCACAGCTATTACCCACTTCTGTCATGCTTCCTGTGGTTTTGGTGCTAATTGATTAGTACACACACACAAAAAATTACACTCTGCTCTAATTACCATAACTCCCTAACTCTTTCATTGATCCTTCTGAAATTAAGCATATTTCTTGTCTAGGGAAACTGCTGTGACCTACACCATTTTCATACAAATTCTCAAAAAGAACCCCATCAAGATAAGGAAGGGAAACAAAGTATTCCTTTCCCAATTAAAAGTCTTCTTCCACAAAGCCTACACCTTTTTATCTGACATTTTTAAAGTTTGTCAGATAAGGCTAACCCTGTCTTGTAGGCTATTTTCCTAATAACTATTAGGATCTGTGCTATTTTGGAGACTGCCCTCCCCCCCCCCCCATACACACACACACCCCAATTGGAATTTTACAAAAGCCAGTGAGCCTATTCAGTCAATCAATGATACTTATTCAGTCAATGACCAACAAAATTAAAAAAAAACAGAAACAGAGTGAAATAAATGGATACAATAATATACCAACAGCTAACAAAATAAATCACATAATAGTATAGCATTTACTTCTCTATTACTATATTGGTACATTTATTACCTCGGTAATATAAATCTAAAACATCTAAATATTCTGGTGAACCTATTCATATTTGTAAATATGAACTTAATCATATTTGTAAAATACCTTGAGATTTCTGTTAGAGGGAAGAAATGTTTGAAGAAATGTGAAAGTATGATTCCCTTAGGAAAGGCAACTTTGCCTATCAATATAATTAATAACTTTCTTTTTTAAAAATTTCAGCAATTTCCTATTTGAAAAAACAAACATCTGAGTTAGTGTAATCATCCACTCAGAAGCTACCTGCTGAAAAGTTTATCCAATTCTGTCAAACCAAAAAGAAATCATTGTTGACTGTGGGAAATATAAAGACTTGAATACAGCTTCTGAATTAAGCAAAATAAAAGATTTTCAGAATTGCCAAATCAGAGTCTGAACCAATCATGTGTGTATACGCTTAAAGGATTTTAATGGAATTGAGATTGATTATTGGAATTAATAACCCCAGTTCCTTACCACCCTAATTAATAGCTAATTATCTTAGCTAATATCTGCAATACTTTTTATTTGTAAAAAGTATTCCAGGTATTAGCTGCACATTTAATAAATAACTAAATGAATGAACATTGATTTCTAGTATTAGAAGATTTTCTCATAATTGTAAAACCTTGAGACCTTTCCTGTTTCTCTTATTTAATCATGTCCACGTTAAGCCTTTTCTTGCTGTTTTATTTAACTGTCTGCTTTTGTACAATCCACAGCTGAATTATTTCATAATTATGATGTTATAACTATGAATATACAACAGTTCTCCATAATGATATTACAATGCTCTGTTTCTTTAAATCACTTTTGTGATGCTTTCTATCAGAGCACTGAGCTACCATTTTCCATGAAGTTTCTGCTGTTCTTAAAAATCCTTTCCCCAGTTGTTGCACCAATAATCCTGCCTCAGTTTCTCTCTAAACTTCTTTGTATTTATGATCACAATTGTATTTATAATGTTATTTATTTGTTTCCTTTATTTATTTACAAATATTTGTAAACCCCTGCCGTGAGACTCTAGATAGCAAGACAGGAAAACAAGAAAATAATAAAAACAATAAAATAAAACACAGTTATTATGCATACTAAGATGAGTGCTCACAGTCACATGTGGACAGAGGCACAGTAGGAAAAAAGGGGGTTTTAACTACTTTTTGAAAAGCAACACATTTTTTTAAAAACACATCAATGTTTGTAATCCTTCAATAACATGCACTGGTTACAGGAAGGGGGAAAAAAGAGCAGAAAAGTTATGTAAAACTAGAATGAATCCAGGACTAAAACACCTTTTGTTTTCTATGAAGTTTTTGCTTTAATTTAATGGGGTTTTAACCAATAGCAGAAGAAGAATCAAGCAAAACTCCTTGGCAGAGCATTTAAAAGATGAAACCACATCACTCAGCAGTATCCTTGCATGAAATGCTATCTGTTTTCCTTCCTTCCATTCTGTGTATTGAAATAAAAAATCTTAGGACTTTAAGCTTACGGATTTTCTCCCTTGAAATTAGAGAGTGGACTTCAACTTCAATGGTAAAACTCTAACATCATTTTTCCCAGAGGTCTTTCTGCCAGCCTCTGCAGCCAAAAAGAGGGATGGGCGAGTGGGAAATTGGGTGTCTGGGAGGAAGGTTGCAGAAGGCTCTGTGGATTTGGATGATCCTCTGCACACACCCCGCACCTCACCTCAAGGGAAATGTAGATCAGCCTTTAACATCATCTAAATTAATTCCTTCCTTCTGCAGTAGAAGGACTTCTCTGCTTATTCCTCATTATTCTCTCAGGTTGTCACTGGCTGTGCTTTAAAATAAGCCTTTGTATTTCCAGATAAAGTATCAGCAGCCATATCAGCCAGAAATTCTGGAACTTGTAATGCAATACATCATAAGGATAACAGTTTGAGGAAGAAAGATGCCCATTAGTTCAGAAAGCTTATAATATAATTAGCTGGACAGTAATGTATATTTATATTTCTTTTAGTATCTCCTACCAGAGGTTATCAACAATCAGCATTATTTGTTCTTTTGCTGTTACTGTCCGAAAAAAAGAACATTGTATTTTTACCAAACTGCATATTTAGATTTTTCAGCCAGGATGTGCATCATCTTCCAGCTCTCTGTTTTCCTTGAATCTTTCCTTTTATAACTAATTGAAATAATTTGGATTTCTCATTGTATGTCATGTGGCCTGAATATTCCAGTTTTCTTGGTGGTATTCAGTTTTGTTATCTTTGTCCATTCAGTGGTAAATTGTCTCATTTCATATACACTTATCCCATAAAGTTTTAAGTAATTTTCTCTAAATCCATATTTTAAAGGCTTCTATTCTGCTGATGTTCATATGGTTCATTGTTCATGTTTCTATTCTGTGTAAAATAACTGGTGAAGCCATAGCAACATACGGTCTGCAAATGAAGCCCAATCTTAAATCTTGAGTATAAACAAGTTTGCTTATTTTTTCAAAGAAGTGATAGCATAGCTTTAACAATGATTAATTATTGCTTGATGTATGATTTTCTAAACAGAGTGCACACTGTATGCCTACACTATATGCTTAACTACCAGTGATTGAGCTTAAATGTTTTGCTGAGTATTTGGGACATTTCATTAATATAATTTGTATACTCCTAGCATCACATTTACCCGTACAAATGGTAGAATTCATTTGCATTCAATTCTTCTCCTTCATATAGAAGAAGAAGTTGTGCATTTCACTGGTTGCTTTGTTTCAACAATATGAGCTCCCACAGGGTAATCATACAATAACATTGGGATTAACTCTGGGAAACTACTCTGGAATAAGCTGTTTGAAGACTGGGGCCCTATCATCAACTCCACATAAAGATGCCATTTTAACCTCCTTTTAAATCTGTACACCAATATTAGTAAAAGAGAAAAAACGTAATAAACATATTTCTTTCCATTAATATATGAAAACCCAACTGTAACCATGTTATGTTATTGGGTGACACTGTTGCCTTGTTATGATTTAGCAAATCCATTTACTACTCAAAAAATAAAAGGTTGTCACATAGTATAGACACATATATCTCCTCAATTAATTGAAAAAAATAGTAATGTTCACTGAAGAATAATATCAAACATTTTCTGGCTGGAAATCCAGGCAGGACGTAGAGGAGTTAAGACCTCTAGAAAATGTCATGAATATACTTCTGGACAAATATAGGATGATATACCAGGATTTTCAAGATGGATATATATTGCTTTTGGGAACTGTCACTCGATTGTGTAGCTACAGATATAATATGTGCTTTTTCATTTTGGAATCTTAATTGAGGTCTAAATTCATAAACCTGACACTGACAAAAAGATGCTTGTCACCC